CGCTGTAAGACTTTTCTGTACTTAGAGTAATGATACTTCAACTATGTATTAATATAGTTGGTGTGGCATCTCCACCTGTCCTACCCCTCAACACAGTTCAACTCCAAGAGGGCATCACACTATTATAAGAACATGTACCCTTGTGCATATTAGCACAGCCATTTTTGGAAGGGAACAAAAATAAAATTAAACTAAAAAGATACCTTCACTTTATTGTTGCCTTTGTTGGACTGCTATAGGCTTTATTTAAAACAAACAAAAAGTAATCAACTGGCAAGTCTACAGAAATAACCTTACTGACCGTACAGACTCTTCAAATGGGCAGCCCTGTGCCTGCTGATGGCCTAAACCAACACTCCTCCCTCTCATGGGAATGAGAGGTCAACAGTACAACCTCAGAGAGCTGCCATTTGAAATTAGTGCCTTCATTATCAACAACAATTAACTCTGAGAAGAATTTACTCCCTACACAGTTATGAAGTTTACAGACTTGCTGCTTGCTTTGGGGAACACATGGAAGAAACCAGCTTCTGACAGTGTAGCCACTTGGTGGATGACAGTTTTTATGTATCTATCTCACATGTTTGGTCCAGGCAAAGGCTCAGGACATACAGGCTTTTACAGATAGAACAGAGAGGTAGAAATGAAATCCCATCAACGCAAAGTGACCTCAGGTCTATCGCCTCCGCTGAGGACTGCCTGTCACAGCAGCGCAGTGTCTGGCTGGCCACAAAGGAAAGGTGTGAGGCCTAAAAGAGCTCCATCCCCTTATTCAGGAAACTCAGATGTTTAAACAAAAAGTTTTGATGTCTCCTCCCTAAGCCTTCTTAGGGATTCCTAGCCAAATTATTCTTGATAATGCACATTCTTCCATCCCCTTAGCTCTCCTACCTGACTTCACAATTAGATCCAAAATCAGAGCCATTGCCCCAAGTACAATTGTGCTAGTACTTTCTGTCCTCTTGTATATCCTTCTAAGGAGGAAGTTTCTTAAATCCCAACTGTTTGAGTTTGGGGATTTGTTTTGTTTTGTTTTTTTCCCCCATAGCTAATTTATAGGTCAGGAGTGATGGTTAAACCCACAAACACCATCCTTTTCTGACTTCCATACCTGGTTAATTCTTTCATTCTTACATGTAGATGTAGGTCTAGCCTCACAGATCAGATAGGTAACTGTCTTATCTGGGCACATTTTATAAAGATGAAAATATACTGGATTGTTAAATTCAGTATTACAGAGTAATTTGATCACTTATAGTGATTGCTCATTCATGTAAGATACTGAGAGTAGGTGAACATGGAGGAATACTCAAATATGGGCCCAGTATAAACATCTGTAACTTATCAGAACATTGTTATTTTTCAATATTTACTTGAAGGGATCCCCATAAAAGTGTTCAGCTGCTTCTCTAGATAAGCTTCCAGAGAAGAGTTTTGTGACCTTACCTAAGATGTGGACTAGAATTTCTACCACTACCACCCCTCTTTTAGATAGTTTGTGAGGGGTTTTTTTGTTTTGTTTTGGTTTGGTTTGTTTTTTTTTTTTTAAACCCTCAGACTGATCCAGAGTAGCCATACTTCAGTCTGAGATCTAGAAGTGCATATTGATTACAAACCCTTTCTTGCCTTTACATGAACCGTATTCAATGATCTCTGATAGGAGGGACAACCATTCAGAGACCAAGGGAAGACTGGTTTTCTTTACTTCATTAGAAATAGGATAATGAGGTGTTTCATGGAAGGTGGTGTTTTCTTTTTCCTCCTAGAAAGAGGAAAAAATTTTCCGCTTCCGTGGCTCATTATCAATGCTAGGTCTGAGAGAAGTTATCCATATTCACAAGATTGCTTATGAAAAAAAACCCAAAGAAACTGATGAAAGCATTTATTTCTGAAGGTCAGCAAGTATCAAAGCAGTCCCTAAGGGCTGCCTTTAACTTTCCACAATCTGCAGTGAGAACTCCTGCTTCTGCAATTTCCATTAAGCAGTCTTGTTTGACTTTCTAATCATCTGGACTTCTTCCAGAAATCAAAGCCAAAGTTGAGATCCTCCTTTTTTGAAGGAGAAAGTCTTTTCAGCACACCAAAGTTTTTGAACACGCAAAGGAGCAAGTATGTAGACAGGTCTCAGAATCTACCAACAGTCCATGAGAAAACCAGACAAGTGACACTGTTGTTACCATAAGTCACAAACATCCCTTCTTCTCCCCTCTACTAGAGCATACCATCCAGTGCCTCCCTGCTGCTGGCACAAAGCTAAGCGTCCCAGGCATTTTTAGAGGTTCAAATCTGAAAAGCTGCCCTTAGAAGTACTAATCCAGCTTTTACAAAGCATTTTTTATACCTACCTTTCTTCTCAATTTGCTAATTATACAATGAACTTTGACTTGGAAAGCCATACAATGCATTTTTCTATGGCACTATTATCGCTCAAGACAGGAAATGCAGAAACTATCTCAACAAGAAAAAAAAACACATATTTTCAGTTTTTCCTAGGTAAACTCTACCTATTCTTGCACCCTGTCTACCCTCCCAGTCTCCTCAAGGTACCTTCATAGCGACTTCTAAGAGGCAATGCTATGGGGCTAGGCATGGGCACATGCAAGAACATACTGTGACTCTCCTCTTTTCCCCCTTGGTACTCTGGGATGATATTCTTTCATCCTATCCATGAGCATGCATTAGGCCCATTTACCTTTAGAAATTTACACACCACTGTGTAATATCTATTCACTCAACCCTATTGCTGCTTTTGCTTCCAAGTTTTTTTAATCTTCTTTATTGAAAGCTGAAGCAAGCTAGTGGTAATCCTAGAAGAGCAATACCCTGGGTTCTCTGGTGAAGTCTCTTGTGCAGCTGCCTCTTTTGGTTAGTGTTTCTTACTAGTCAAATAACCTTCGGTCTTCCCTGTAACTCCAACTTAGGAGCTACCTCCTCATCTACTTACACATTCACCCTCCCATTTTAGAGACGGCTAGAATTGTAACAGCAATCATCTGAGCTCCTGCCCCTTTCCTGAGCCCAGCAATGTCCTAGCGTGAAGGACAGTGTTTCCCCACTTCTCCTCTCATTCTGCGTTCAGTCTTCTCTGGCCTCAGAACCACAGCCTGCCACTGCTGCTAGTAAGCAGTCTGCCAAGAGGGCAAGCGGCCTCTTCCTGGTGCCTATTCCTAATATAGTTAAAAATCACAACTTTTGCCATCTTGTTCTTTTCACAGATCAGCATCCTTTGCCATCTTCCCCATATCATACCCATTCTTTCTATCCAGTTAACTCTATTCACCCCCCTTTCTCTTTATCAGCAAGCTCTTTTCTTCTTCTGCAGTACTGCAGAACTCTGGTTTTGATCCACTGGATGGTTTCTGCTTTCTCCCGACAGTCATGTTTCTCCTGTGGATCTCAAGCCTTGAATTTCAAAAACACATTCTGCATTTAGTTTGGGGTAAGAGTCATATCACTTAACTTCAGATATCTGAAGTTCAGCATCTAGCCTAAGATGGCTGCTTACCTGAGGTCACCCTCTGGTCTGCAGAGGGAGGAAGGACCTCCACAGAGCAATCCCTCCCCCTCCAAGATATTTTTCTAGAACAAGTAGGATGAATCACACTGTGAAAGAGCCCATAAGGGGCGCTTAGCTAGATGGGAATACCAAAACTGCTCCAAACTCTAAGTTATCTTCATGACCTCCTTCCAGCATATTTTCAAACCTGCCTCAGTTCCACTATTATCTTTAGCTTCACCTCGAGTCCTTCAACCTCCTCCTCCATGAGGATCACCTGATATTTAAAAAAATCAGAGGTCCTATTGAATATCACTTGAAGGAAGATACACACCCTGGAGGCTCAAGTCTCAGCACCTTTGCTGTCCCCTCTTCTGGGAGATCTATTGCACTGCCTCAACACAGATGACTCCTACTGATACGGGAGCCATCATCGACTCTTCTTTCTAGTGCTTAAACTACAGGAAGGAATGATGAAAGCCCTCCAAACTTCCTACACTGAACTCCTACACCACCTTCCTTATTTCTTCTAAGATCAGCGTCATGGCAACTAGCATTTCTCATCTTCCCTTTGTAAGCTGATAAATTGGTTTAGCAGCACTCCATTACCAAGGCTCTTTATTTGCATTCCTCTAAAATAAGTTGTGTTGCTCCAAAAAGCCTGAAAGGTTTCAGCAAGTACTGAATAAACTAAGTAGTTCATGTATAAATAATATATCAGCTATCACCACATTTTTAATGGCTGCATCACAAACGTATTTTTAGATGGCCTAGGTTAGTCAGAACGATTCAAGCATCTGCTTCCCGTTCCCCCGTAAGTGATTCCCGTTTCACAGTTCTGTGCCCATCCCTGAACGCCTGCTGGGATGTGGCCTTTTCAGCACTGTCTCCAGTACAGCTTCGCTGCTGCACGGGAGACCATCCCACTCCACAGGCAGCCTGCTGACCGTGGTGGGACGACTTCAGGGACAGGGTGCTATTTGGAATTCTTCCATACTCCCTCCCGCACCTGTGCGCCCATCTCTTCTTAAAAAGATAACAGATTAGAGGTGTCAGTGTAAATCAGATTACATGCTGATGATAGCTGCTACTTGTCCCTACCCCCCATGAAGCCAGGGACGCAACAGCGGCAGTAGGGAGCGTAAAAGTTAGGCACTGGGGAGGGTAAGCATGAAAGCCCCCTGCTCGGGGAGCTGCCCCCTGCCTCGCAGGGGACATCCTCACACCGGCTACAACTCTAGAAACGCAGCGATCAGGAGGCGGTGAGCACCAGGCCCTTTCACAGTCAGTAAGCAGCCGGGCCATCCCCTCTCTCTTCTCCCCCGAAGGCTTTTCCCCCGCGCAGGTGCTGGCCGCCGGCCTGCGCACAGCCATCGCCTCTCGCCTCCCCACTTACTCCTCTTTCCGGTGAAGCTCCTCCTCGGACTCGGTGAGGCGCTGCTTCAAGGCTGCGATCATCTCCACCGCCACGTCCACCTGCCTGCTGAGGGCCCGCTCCCGCCGCTGCACCTCCTGCTTCTTCTGGGACAGCTGCACGAAAGCCGCCCGCACCTCCAGCAGCTCCGCCGTCTTCTGCGCCAGCTCCTTGGTAAGCTTGTCGATTCGCTTCTCGATCGTTTTGTCGACGGCCTCTACCATCCTGTTAAACTTTTCTCTGACGTGCGCCTCGAAGGAGGCTTTGGAGTCAGTGGCCGGGAGGCCGGCTTTAGAAACCTGCTCGCTGGGCGAGTCGGCCGGCACATAGTTTGCGATGTAGGAGACGGGCCGCTCGGCCTCCACCTCCAGCTTCGCGCTCTGGCAGGACACATCACAAAAATTCAGGTAGGTCCCTTTTTGCTGCAGGGCGCCGGCGGGGCTCCCCAGGCTGCTGCCCTGGGTCGCAGGCTCCGGTGGGGAGAGGAGCTCCGCGTCTTTCAGGGGCGAGAAGAGGCTGCTCTTGGGCAGGAGGCTCCTCTCCTCGTAGCTGTGGCCGTACTCCAGGTGCACCCGCAGAGAGGAGAGGCTCCTGAACCTGGTGTGGTCGCCGCATCGCGGGCAGCGGAACGGGAGGCTGACGCTGCCGAGCGGCTCCTGCCAGGGCTGCCTGCCTTCATCCCGGGCCGTCTGTTGCATTCCTCGCCGGGCCCCGGCCGGGAGAAAACAGCCCGCGTCCACGCCCGCCCGGGGCCGGGGCAGCCCGGCAGGCCCGCCGGGAAACTTGGGGAAACTTTCCCGGTGATTCCTCAGGGGGATCGCGCCATCTCCGCCCGGCACGGCCCGCCGCAGGGCCCCGGCGGCGCGGCGCGGCTCCGCTCCGCTCCCCTCGGCTCGGCGGCGGCCGCCCGGGCCTTGCCGGGGGGGAGCGGGGCCGGGCCCCGGCGCGGCGGGGGGGGCTCAGCCGGCCGCAAGGTCGCCGCCCCCTCGCCGCCGCACTCACCCGACCCGGTGCCGGTGCCGGCGGGGCGGCGGCGGGGCAGCCGTTTTCAGCAGAGCCGTAAATCAGGCCGAGCGCGCCGCCGCCGCCGCCACACGCTCTCGCCGCCCGGCCGCGGGGCGGGGCGGGGCGGGGCCGGGGGGGATAGAGGCGGCGGCGGGGGGCGGGGGGGGAGCGCGGCTGGGGCCAAACGGGTCTGGGGGCCCGGGGCCGCCGCGACCTCGGGGAGCCGCGTCCCGGCACGCCCCGTCCCCCCCCGCCTTGGGCACTGTCGGGGTTTTGGGGTCATGCACCGTCAGCGGGGTGTGTGGGGCGCGCGGGGGCGCTGCCGAAGGGACAGGCGGTCGGAGGTGTTTGAGCAGCAAGGCGAGGCTGCCGCGTGTGAGTGGGTATAACCTTGCCTTGGCTTCCTGGGGATGGAATTGCGTGCAGTTTTTTTAAAACTGGTGGCCAGAAAGATTTTCCTTTTTATTTTGTAAATACGACCCTAATTTAGCCTCAGGATTTAGGGAGGGGGAGGCAGTAGTAATGGCATTTCCGTCTTTGAATACGAGGCACAGATGCCATAGACTCACAGAGTGGTTTGGGTTGGAAGGGACCTTAAAGCCCATCTAGTCCCAGCCCATGTGCCACGGGCAAGGACACCTTCCGCCATCCCGGGTCGCTCAAAGCTCCATCCAACCTGGCCTTGAACCCTTCCAGGGAGGGGGCATCTAACATCTCTTTGGGCAACCTGTTCCCGTGTTTTACCACTGTTATTGTAAAAAATTTCTTCCTTCTATCTAGTCTAAATTTACCCTAGATCTAAATCTACCCTAGATCTACATCAATGTAATGTATGCTAGAGCATGCTGCCAGTGGGTCCCTTCAATAGCAGAATATGCTTCTAAGCTTTTTTTTTTTTTTTTTTTTTTTTTTTTTTTTAATATACCACAGATGTCTGTTTGTTTTTGCAAATTTTTGGAAACATGAGCAAGGCTGATTGTAGAGTAGCAGCCCTTTTGAGGTAATAGTGAAATATTGCTCTTCTAAAAACTAGTGCTTGAGGCCATAGTGGTAATATGCTGCAGGTTTTTTATTACTGTGGGAGAAAGCGCTGCGGTAAAGTTTAATTCTGTACTAATATATGTGTTCCTTGAGTGCAACATACAGGCAGAGTCCTAAATACTGAGAAAATCCGTGTGCATTGATAGATGCCTTTGATGTGATTAAGACATTCCCAGTAAATGATTCACCAGATGGCACATCAAAGGAAGTTACTCAAATTGCATTTCAGAGCTTCAGCTAATCTCTGAAGTGTGTGGGCTACCATCCAGGCTGCAACGTTTTGCATGAGTTAGTTGTCCTCTATTACCTTGTCTAAATGTGATTGTTTTCCCTTCTTCTGCCATCAAGCAGTACCAAAAACCAGAAGGGAGGTCAGGAGGGAATAGCTTTAAACTGTGCTTGCCTGCAAATTTGGGGATCCTGACTATTTGAAGGAGGCCAACATTGGATGTGACCCTGTTTCGGTCCCCATTTTCTTGGCTGTTGTCCTCTATTGTCCATTATTTCTCTGTTGTGCCCATTGCCTTCCTACCTTCTCCTCCACATCAGGGGAAGGTACTTGGTGCTGATACTCAAAGGTGCAGGTGAGTGCTATACAGGTGAGATGCACTTAGCCTGGTGGGGTGCTACCTGAGGCTCCGTCCACGTTTAGAAGGTGTGACACCCACCCGCCCGCTCCAGCTGATGGTAACGAGAGCCCACACGGTCTTGGGAACAGAAAATGTTGATGGCTTTGAAGGAGTCCATTGATCTGCAGCCTAAGCTACGTGGTTTTGGTCAGTTAGATCTGGAATCCAGCCACCATCTAGCCTCAGTAATTCTTCTTTTAAGATTTCTGAGGGTTTACTTGCACTCTAAGTATTTGTTTTGCTGGATTGAGATCCAGCTCCTCATCTCTTCAGTTATGCACTCCCGATGCTTCCATTTGTATGTGCATTTCAGTCGTTCTCTCAGCATTCGGAGAGGAACAATCTCCTTTTGATATATCAGTAAGTGTGCATTTTAGAGTGGAGGATGTACATCAACCATTACATATCTGAGCTTCATCTCCTGCGATTTAAATCTGGAGTGGGTAGAATCTAACACTATCACTTACACAAAGCCCAAATTTACACAGCCATAATGTATGACTCATCTCTGAAATTTTGCCAGGTGCTGGGGTGGCATTATCCAGTTTATTTGTATGCATCTTTCTCTTTCAATATCTCTTTAAACACTTTGCAATAAGATTTCCAGAAGGATAAAAGTTACTTACAGGAAACCAGCATGTACCAACCTGCCTGGTGCTATAAGGAAGGTGGAATATTTAGAATATCCAGCTTTTGTTCAGGTAGTGATCTGTATCTGCCACACTGGGTACCGTAGTTGCTGATTGTGGGTGGAGACTGATTATCTGACCTCTTCCTATTTTGAGGGTGCCTACAAGCTTAAAAATTGTATTTCAAAAGTGAAATAAATTTCGTTTGGCTGATAATTCCACTTTGCTGAAGGTGGCTTAAAAAAGGAGTTTTCAAGAGTTACCCTGGCTGTTTACCTTCTCTTTTTTTTTTTTTTTTTTTTTCATCCTAGAGAGGTAAATAGGTGAGTCAGTTTTGTTTTTACTTGCAGACGCTTTCCCCTTCAGGCTTGTGATACTGACAGGTTTGTGGGGGCCTTTTTCATGTGGCATAGAACTGGATTCACTACAATCACTTCGGCTCCATCCTGCAACCCCTGATTCCCTTGCTTGTTTACTGGTTTGCTTTGAAAAGGGGTATCGGAAATTTTTGTCTCTCACCTTCGTGCCCACGCTCCCAACCCAGGTCTTCATTAAGTGATCTAGATAGTTTATAAGAGATGTGAATCTGCACAGAGTTTCTGTTGGGGAAGCTTGACTAAGCTATATATGGGTATATAAAGATAGATGCACACAACTGCACATCCGTTTACCACTGCATACAGATGGGATTGTGAGTTTGGCTCTGGCAAGTAGCACAGTCCTGCCGTTCCGCTGTAAAAGCTGTGCCCGAAATAGGTATGCTTATTCAGCTCAGTTAATTTGTATGCTGGGAAGTGCTGTGTTTTTCTTGGTGTTTGAGTGTGGACCACAAATGCACATGATAATTTGAGTTGGTGAAACCTACCTGCATTTAATATTTACCATCTCCTCTCTCTGTTGATTGAGAGGAAGTGACAAGTGACTAGTAAAATCCGAGGAAAGGCCTTAGAAACCAGAAAGAAGTATTTTAGTGACTTTTTTGGTAGTGGTGCCTTAGCCTGGGATTCATATTAGCTTTGCATGCACATATATTCAGGATACATTAAACATAGAACAAGGTCTGTTTTACTGCCACGGGCATTCATACCCACCCAGTAGGAAAGAGACTTTCTGTGGTGCATTTCTAGCATACTGATTGAGTAGCACTCTGCTTGCAAAGGGAGTGAATGGGAAGGAGAAGAACTTGAATGGACATACTGGGTTTGTGTGACTGTTCAGTGCTGGTTAGCTGTTGCCTTCTGCTCTCTCAGGGGGGCCTCAGTCTGATCAGTGGAAGTCAATTTACCATCTTTTGAAATTAAAAAAAAAATGACAAAAACCAAAACAGTCAAGTCTGTGTTTTCAAATGAGTTTTGTTGTCACAGAAGCAGGAGAGGCAGCGTGTCGCGAGAGTGCTCTTGGTCCTGCAGCAGATTGTCCCGCCCAGTTTGCAGTCTGGTTCCAACTTTTCTGCAGAATTTCCAAACCCATTAGTGTTCCTGTAGGTAGCCCCTGGGTAGAGCTGACTCCAGAAGGTTGTTTAGCTCTCCTCTTCTCTACCCATATTTTTTGCAAGCACTTCTGGGTAAAAAAAGAGAGCAAAGCATTCTCTTCTGGATTGATTTGCACCATTTAGCCCATACCTGGTGAGAGGTGTCACATGTGAGATGGCTGTGGGCATACTTTCCAAAAGACAGAACGAGGTGGGGAGGAGTGTCAGCAGTGGGTCTGGCCTGCACTTCAGCCATCTTTATTTTTCCTCAAAAAAACTTACTTTAGTTAGGAGGATAAACAAAATATAACTAACACCTTGAGAGAGAGGAAAAGTTGGGGGGCCTGCGTTCCAACCAAGTTATTCTTTACTGTGCCTATTTTGAAGGGCAAGAGGAAA